CGATTAAGAATGAAGACATTTCCTGCTTTTGTTCAAATGTAAAAATGTCTGGTGGGAAACGACAATCAGTCATTTAAAAAATAATTTCATTTGATTAAAATGATTTTTCTCCCATATCAGGGCATTTAAGTAGAGTTTCTTCTTAATTGCATTTTTTAATAGCAAATTGTTTAATTTTAACTTTCATTATTATAAAAATGTTTGTCTTCTATGAATGTTAAAGTATCATGAGTTGTTTTTGCTAAAGAATGAACTGAAAATATTCAAGATCTATTTTACTATTTAACTCATTTTGTCTTAATTTTGGTCATAAAGACAAAAATTTCTTAGCCACTACTGGCATTTCTAACTTTATGAAATTACCATAAAACTTAGGAGTTAATGATTTTCATATTTTCTGTATTAAGTTTTCTACAGCAAGCATTTATGTAATCAGAAAAAAAAATTATCAGGGGACACCTGGGTGGCTCAGTTGGTTAAGTGTCCAACTCTTGATTTTGGCTCAGGTCATGATCTCACGGTTGAGATCGAGCCTTGCATCAGGCTGCATACTCAGTGTGGAGCCTATTTGGGATTCTCTCTTTCCCTCTCTCTGCTCATCTCTTTCTTTCTCAAAATAAATAAACTTTTCTAAAAAAGAAAAAAAATTATCAGAACATATAAGATCATATCCTATCCTAGCCTGAGAACAAAGTGAACTGTTTACTTTTACCAAGCCTTAAATCATTTGAAAAGTACAACATATTTTCTTTCTTTCTTTTTTTTTTTTGTTTCTTTGATAGAGAGGGGTTGGGGGAAGGGCAGAGAGAAAGGGAGAGAGAAGCCCAAGCAAGCTCCACACTGTCAACACAGAGCCACATGGGGCTTAATCTCATGAAGTGTGAGATCATGACCTGAGCCAAAAATCAAGAGTTGGTCGCTTAACCCACTGAGCCACCCAGGTGCGCAGCTGCATATTTTCTTCTAAATAAACATAACATATTCTTCTACATTGCATATTCATTATAATAGGTGATAATTAAATAATGAGAAGATTAAATGGTCAGAAAGCTGCTTTGCCCTTCCATAGCCTGTGGACTGCTACATTCCAAGATGATACCATTGGGATCTTTGACTACAACCTCCAAGTAATGTCATGATTTCATTGTTCCAAAATTTGTGAATTGTTAAGTTTAATCTGCAACACCATATCCAATGTGCACTGGTATAGGTAAAGCAAGAGAGCTATTATTATAAAACCTCCTATTTACAGAAAAATTTTAAAGAGATTTAAATTTTTCTATTCAGAAACTGCCAGGGTAGTACCATAATTGATCACCCATATACTGATCAGTGGGAATGGTAAGAGAAATAGTAGGCCCAATGTTTCGTTTTGGTTTATTTTTAAGTTTATTTATTTTGAGAGAGACAGCGCATGAGTGGGGTAGAGGCAGAGAGAGAGGGAAAATTCCAAGCAAGCTCTGTGTGGTACAGAGCCTAATGCAGGGGCTTGAATTCACAAAACTGTGAGATAATGACCTGAGCCAAAATCAAGAGTTAGATGCTTAACTGACTGAGCCACCCAGGCACCCCAGAGGTTCAACATCATTTTTGATGACTCCCCTCCTTAGTACCAGAATGACTCCTCAAGTAGTTGATTTGCCTTCAGAATTATCTCTGAGAAGGTAATTGTAGGGGTGGGAGGCTGGACCCAAGGCTGGAGAAGTGTGTTAAGAATACAAAAACCTGGGGCGCCTGGGTGGCTTAGTCGGTTAAGCGTCTGACTTTCACTTAGGTCGTGATCTCGCGGTTCGTGGGTTCAAGCCCTGCGTTGGGCTCTGTGCTGACTGCCAGCTGAGAGCCTGGAGCCTGTTTCGGAGTCTGTGTCTCCCTCTCTCTCTGACCCTCCCCTGCTCACACTGTCTCTCTCTCTCCTAGGAAAAAAAAAAAAAAAAAAAAAAAAGAATACAAAAACTTGGGGAGCATCTGGGTGGCTCAGTTGGTTAAGTGATTCTCGACTTCGGCTCAGGTCATGATCTTAATGGTTTCTGGGTTCGAGGCCCACATCAAGCTTTGTGCTGATAGTGCAGAGCCTTCTTGAGATTCTCCCTCTCTCTCCACCCCCCACCTGGGCCCCTCCCCCACTGACGAGCACACATGCACGCTCTCTCTCTCTCAAAATAAATTTTTTTAAAAAAGAATAAAAGAATACAAATACTTGATAACTTATGAAGAGATTGTCAGAAATTCTCTGTCTTGTTGGACTGAGTCAATCATGGTTATACTAGGCTTTTTTTTTTCCTCTTTTTCCCGGTAATACAATTCCAGGTCACCCAGATTAACTGCACTGCCACAAATTTCACTGTGGATTCCTAGATCTTAACAGCCTATTTCTAAGTGCCCACTCTGGGTGACTAAAATTCAAGCTCTTTGCTTGAAAGCCTCAGCTTTGAGGCTTAGAGTGGAGATCAACAGAAATCTCTGGTCTCAAGCTATATTCTAGTGGCAGCACTTTTCAACAGGAGACATCTTCTGGTTTGGGGGTTGGCTTTGCAAATCACATAGGTCATTTTACCCCAACCCACTCTTGATACTGTCCATGGTACTGATTCCGCTCAGCTGCTGAACTAATGGCAATTCTATTTTTCTAGTCCTTTAAAATATTATTTATCTATATTATAAAGTAGTAAGATAATTAATTGGGTCAAATATGGCACAGTTTTAGGCACAGGACTTGGTAGAGCTCTGTTGCTAGGGTTTTAAATAAGTCGTTTTTAAAAAAAAATTTAATGTTTATTTATTATTGAGAAACTGACAGAGTATGAGCAGGGGAGCAGCAGAGAGAGAGGGAGACAGAGGTCGAAGTGGGCTCCAGGCTCTGCACTGTCAGCACAGAGCTCCATGAGGGCTTGAACTCATGAACTGTGAGAGCATGACCTGGGAGGAAGTTGGAATGCTTAACCAACTGAGCCACCCAAGCACCCCAATAACTACTTAGTTTTTAAATAACTACTATGTCTTAAATTTCCTCATCTTTAAACTGGGATGCCGATAATTTAAAAAAAAAATATTTTTAATATTTAATTTTGAGACAGAGGGAGAGCACGGGTAGGGGAGGGGCAGAGAGAGAGGGAGATACAGAATTGGAAGAAGGCTCCAGGCTCTTAGCTGTCAGCACAGGGCCCTACGCCAGGCTTGAACTCAGGTGCCCCCTAGATGCTGATAATTTAAATATTCAAACAATATATTTTTTAAGCTGGCAGGAAGCAAGTGCTAAGTGGTAGCTTTCATTTTTATGATTAAAAATATAGTATTCAGGGGCCCCTGAGTGGCTCAGTCGGTTAAATGCCCAACTCTTGACTTCAGCTCAGGTCATGATCTCACAGTTTGGAGGTTCGAGCCCCACATCAGGCTCCTTGCTGAGTGTGGAGGAGTCTGCTTGGGATTCTGTCTTTCTCTCTCTCTCTCTCTCTAAATAAATAAATAAAAACATTAAAAAAAATTTTTAAGTATAGTATTCAGTGATTTTTTTAATAAATATATCCCATTAAATAGAAGTGAAATTCAACAGAAATGAGCAAAAAGGGCATCAAACTGTCCCATAAGCCTGATCCATGTTTCTTGACCCACCTCCTGTTGCAGGAATGTCCACTATGCTGCTAGAACCCGGAGCACCCAGCCAGTGCCTTGGAAACGCCCATTACTATGTCCCATCTGCTCTCCCCAACTTTCCCAGAACCAGAGTCCCACTGATGCTATAGTTCTTCCAAGTAGATATGTAAGGGTGATTTTAGAGGACATGCCAACCAACAGAGAGTAGCTGCAGCCAAATGCCAGCACCATCGCTAGGGAAACCGCTTCTCGTGCCACATTTAGGCCCTCTGGCTGAGCAGCAAGCAGCAGGGGAGGCTTATAGGCTCGAAACAGTACAGGTACCTAGGGATGCTCATCCAGGAATCTCAGGGTCCTGGGAGGCCCATGAGAGGCCTAGGCCAGTCCTCTTGGGTTCACAGCAGCTAATGACAATGGCAGTGTCTGGAAGGCAGGGATTTGTGTGTGTGCTTAAAGAAGCATGTGTGGCAAGGAGGTGGGCACAAACAATTAGAATGGTTTTAAGACCAGGGTCTGAAGATTTCCTGCTATGCCAAATATTAATAGTTTGTTAGATAATGGGGCACGACTCGGTCAAAAATGGGGTACACTTGGGGGCACCTGGGTGGCTCAGTGGTTAAGCATCTGACTTCAGCTTAGGTCATGATCTCATGGTCCATGGGTTTGAGCCCTGCATCGGATTCTGTGCTGACAGCTGAAAGCCTGTAGCCTGCTTCAGATTCTGTGACTCCCTTTTTCTCTGCCCCTCCCCTGCTCATGCTCTGTCTTTCTCAAAAATAAATAATTACAAGTTTTAAAAAATAGGGTACACTTGGAGGAGAAAGGGCCTCAGGGTATTGGCTATTTACCTACTAGTAGGGAAGTACTATCTTTCAAGATGTTTTTAACCAAGTAAAGCTGTTTTAGTCTTTAAAAGGATCCAAAAGCAAAAATCCAGAAGGCCCTTAGGAAGGACTTGAAGCTAGAACCAGCAAACCACTGATCTACAGAGTTCTCTCTCCATTTATCATCTCTGCCTTTCTTCGTAAGATCACACACTATCTTGGTGTTAGTTATATTCAGCTTTTCTGCTTCCAAGTTTACCTACAACAGCTTTAGCCACAGAAAGAGATGGGCTTTCTTTTCCTGAGCCTAATTCCAATTCTCCAACTGGGCCAGCTTGAGTCATATTCTGTGTACAGAATGACACAGGTAACACATCAGCCAGAAACACAACACAATGAAGGTGGGTTTCTGGCTGAGGAGTCATTACAAACTGAGAAGATGAAGCTATAAAGGTAGATGGATGTGAAGGACCTTGTAGGCCTTGAAGTGGGGGATAAGGATATGTTGTTTTGCAAGAGACAGACGGCCATTTCACTAAATGAGATGAAGAAAACAAAAAGCAAATTTGAAGACAAGGAAGAATATAATAATTGGAGATATGAACAAGTTTAATTATTTGCTATACCATCCAGATGGAAATATGTGGCAAATGGATGGAAACAAGGTTCATAAACTTAGGAGATAGGCAGGCATTTTTAGACTACTTTAGGTTTTGACATCCACCAGACTGAACTATTTTTTAACATTTAAAACAAAACTTTTTTATATAACAAAACAATGTATTAAAATTTACTTCCAGAAATGCCCGTTTTTTTAAACATGATATAATTATTTTCACATTTCTTTAAATGTCAAGTTATCTTTGGCAAATTTATCCAAAATAGTACATTTTCATTTTAGAACTTATTTTAGATTTATATAAGAGTGGTCTACATTGATATTCATCAAGATACTTTTCTCTAAGCCCTAATGGTTTCTACTTTACCCTTAAAATGAATGAAGTATCTTTTAATTGGGCATTCTCAAAAATATTCTGGGGAAAAAAAACTGTGAATTAAACACCCATAAATTCTTCTTCATTTCTGTTATAGTGTAGCAATTTGTCATCTAACCCATAGTGGTCTATCAGCTGAGTCAGGCTGAGTTTCTTATTCTCCTCACACAGAGCCGATTGCAACTCATGCAGCAACAGCTGGCTACAGCTTCTCCACTTCTGTATTAATGACTGTAACTGAGATAAGTCATTCTGAAATAGGAAAAAAATAAAGATATATCAATAAGTAGACAGGCATCCTATTTAACATACTTAATTAAAGTTGTTATATTCGTCAACTGAGTAGGTTTAAGGGGTAACATACTTGATCAGGATAGGGACTTCTACCCAAGCAAAAGCAGGATAGTTTTAAGTAGAATGGTTACATTGACAACTCAGGTTGAGTTCTATTCTGTTTGGTCCAAGCTCTAGATCATCCTTACTTATCCTCAGCGACAAATCAAATCACGAAGTAAGGAAAAACTATGTAGAGAAGCAACAATATGGGTAAAAACAAAAAAAAACCTTTTTCTATTATAGCTGTATTTTTTTAAATGAAAATATTCAACTTAATGAATATAAATAAAATACTCAACTTAATATAATTTTTCAACATTCACTATCTCATAAAACGCAAGTAGTTATATTTAGAAAAATCCTAAAAATTCAAGACAGCAAATAAGACTTACTATCCCACCACTTACTCCACAGTGCTGAGAAAGAAGGAAGAAAACAACATACGCATGAGCGATCCAGGTAAATAAAGGTTATCTTCTTCCAAGTGCCCAACTTCTATTTATTTCAATCTATCTCGGCTGAAATCTAAAATCTAATTTATATTTGTTGTTTTTACCAAACAAAATACCTGGAGCATTTTAACAGTTTGGAAGAACACAAGATTATTACTAAAAGTATCATTTATTGTACTCTTGTGGCCCATTTTTTAAAAAAATTTTTAATGTTTTATTTATTTCTAAGAGAGAGAGAGACCGTGTGAGCAGGGGAGGGTCAGAGAGAGAGGGAGTCAGAGACTCTGAAACAGGCTCCAGGCTCTGAGCTGGCAGCCAGCACAGAGGCCGACGCGGGGCTCGAACCCACAAACCGCGAGATCATGACCTAAGTGAAAGTCGGACGCTCAACCGACTAAGCCACCCAGGCGCCCCTGTGGCCCATTTTTAGCTTTTATAATCATTCACTGGCAGCTGTCACTTCTGTTCTCATTGTACTTGCATCATTTGGTACTAATACTTACTACAGGCTGGCAACTAGAGAGACAAGCTTCAACTGCATATTCAATGAGAGCTGGCAATTTTTAAAGTTGTATCTGGTGTTTCGAAACCTAACTCTCCTCTAAATCTATGACTTACATTTGAGTTACAGTTGTGAGAAGCTAGGTTTCTGGATATTTGGCTTATTGCTCATTATGCTAAAATAAACTTATTTCTCTCTGAAATTACTTATCATTTAACTAAAAAAAAAAAAAGAAATGTTTCTAAAATTATTCTCACCTTAGATCTATACATTTTGACCAGTTTTAGCCTTCTAAGAAGGTCCTCTTTCTCCTCAATCTGCTTCACCAGTTTTGCTCTTTCTTCACTTAATCCTTGTTTGGGAAGATCCTCATTCACAAAGTCACTTTGGAGATCACTGCATGACTTAGTATCAAGTGACTGAGATTCAGATGCACTGATATTCTTGAAGGTATTTTTTAAATATGTACTTTCAAACTCACGGTCTGTGTGTTTAAAATTTTCCTGAAATTCCAAACAGTTTTCTTCTGTTGAAGATGCTGGCTTCTTGGAAACAGTCTGATCATTTTCTTCATTCTCTACTTTAAGACGTTTTACCACACTATCACAGGAATTAAATGAAGACCTAGTTTTCCTTAACCGTTCTCTAAGTGTTGCACTCATAGGCTGAAAAAAGCACAAAACCTTAATTAAGAAAAACATTCTTGTGTAAATAAACAAAGACCTTACATTTCTACAGGAGACACCACTAGATGGCTTTATATCTCCATATATCTAAAGTAACAATCCCAAAATGTCTTTAATTCCTGCAAGCCCCATTTTATTCTTTTTATTTTAGCAAAGTCAGCACCCTTCTAGTGTTGAGACACTCATCCCCGTCTTCCCAAACATTTGTTCAGCAACTAGCACATGCCTGACACTACTGAGTGCTTCAGAGTTAAAAATTAAGGAAAAGACCTAGATCCTGCCACCAAAGACCTTCAGAATACGGCAGACTCAAACTTCCTCAATTTGGACTTTTGTAGTAACCTGATCTGAAAGTAAATGAAAATAATTGATTCAAGATGAAAATCTGGGGGGCAGGGAGTCAAATCCATAAGCTTAGGATAAAGACCTAAAATTATTAAATAGCTGCTAAAATATCTACTTATTGATCTACACATTATGCAAATTAACAGTCTTCAGCAGAATTAAACCCACTACAGGCACAATACCTAGAAATACAGACTAGCTCCACTGGAAGAACTAAGATATTCATACTTGTTTTCTTGAACTACTTGTACGGGAAGAGGGTGGACTGGCACAGTTCTGTGGAGTGCTAGGTAAAATCACAGCAGCTGAGTCGGAGGGGCTTTCCATCTTGAAAATTAAATCTTGGTTTACCTCTAAAAAAGAAATCAGAATGTAAATAAAATTAACCCGTACCTCTATGTACTCAATTTTTATAAAAATAACTTATTGTTGTACATCTAACAGCCACAAGTAAGCCAGCAACAATTTCACTTAGTTGTGATTCATTTTTGGGCTTTCTGCAGTTATCCATTTACCTTCCCAAGTAAGGCTGTGTTGGTCCACATGGTGACTACTAGTTTTTTCAGGACAAATTAACTAGCATCTCGTATAAACACTCTCCATTCTCAAATATCCCATATAGGTGCTGGGGAGAACCACCACCTTGGAATTCTTCAGGAATTCTTTTAATTTCTTAACACCAGCTTTATAATGAATGGAAATACAACTGAAATCTTGGCTCGAAAAACATAATCAGACCTGTCACACTACCTTAAACGCTAAAATGCTGTGGCTAGAACCAGGCCTGAAGAACAGCAACACAAGCGCAGATAAATATACGTCTGTGTCAAGTAGCGAAAAGACCCTGAAAAGGAGAGTTGGCCTAAGTTTCTTTCCTCAAACAAAGGCATCAAATTTACAGGGGGGTGGGGAAAGGGACGAGTTTCTTCCTTCCTCCCACCATTGCAGAAAACCCACTAGCCCTCGAGAGACCTCACTTAAGAGGGGGGTTGAGAGGTCCCCTGACCGCGGAAAGAGAGCTCTACTCGACCCCACAACCGACTCCCGAAACAGCCCCTCTCTCCGACACTAGCCGCACTGCACGCTACCTCCCTTCGCCTTCCCCCAAAGCAGAAAACGCGCGCAGTCGCGGCCGCAGCCGGTCTCCTCCCGGGGGCGGGGCCGCACGGGAGGCGGAAGAGACGCGCGATTGGCCAGATTGACCGACGCGTTCAGCTCTGCGCGGTTCAGCGCCCGAGAGGGGCGGGACTCCGCGCGCGCGGCCACAAGCTCCTGTAAGCGGGTGGAGGCTGAGCTGGGCGGGCAGAGACGCGTGATTGGCCCGGTCGGAGACGCTCGCAGCTCTGCTCCGCCGAAAGCCAGAGAGCTGCGGCCTCGTGCGCGCGCGGCCGCGAGCCTGCGCAGGCGTCGGGGGCGGGCGGGGCTGAGCTTGGGAAGATTGACGGATTCCGAGCGGGCGGTGCTTCTTTCCCGGGCGTCCTGTCTCTCTTTTTGCGTGGCCTCGCCTTCCTTTCCAGCTTCCTAGCTTTTTGGTTTTCGTTCCCCTCACCCCTCCGTTTTCCGGCCTCTCGTTAGTTTATGCCCTCGTTCCCCACAGGAAACGTCCTTCCTCAGACGTGGCGGGACGGACGAAAAGCCGCAGAGCCGGCTGTGGGTTCAGTTGACGGCTGCAAACGCCCCTGAGGCGGAGACCACGAAAGAGCAGCGCTGGGTAGCGCGGCCCTTTGAGAATCAAACATGTTAGAAATCTCTTCCGAGAGGCCTTGGGGATGCAGTGGAGCTAATTTCCAGCCTTTGCTGCCGCAAACGGCGGTTCCGTCATGGGTTTTCTACTGAAAACCTCAAAAATTTAACTTCTTTAACTTGGCTTCAAGTCTGGTCAAATCTGTGAGAATGTAGCCGCTTTGGGCTATACAGGAGGCCGACCATTGGTCCAGAATTCCGATATTTTGAGGCAGATATGGCCCTTGCTGAACACTGGTCAGGGCATTCCTCTAAAATAATCCTCCTCCACGGGCCTTGGTGGCTCCGGTTAGTTAAGCATCCGACTTTGGCTCAGGTCAGGACCTCGCAGTTCGTGAGTTCGAGTCCCGGGTGTGGCTTTCTGCTGTCAAGAGTTTCTAATCTCTCTCGTTTTCAAGATAAATAAAAAAAAAAAATAACCTTCCTCCAGGTGCCTGTCTGGCTCAGTGGGAAGAGCATGGGACTCTGGGGACTCGATCTCGCGCTGGTGAGTTTGAGACCCACGTTGGGCACAGAGGTTACTATTAAAAAATAAAACGTTAAAAAAAAGAATCCTCACTTCCCGGTGGTGGGGTTCTGTTGCTGTGCAACAGCCAAGTTAAATACTTTGGGTGGAGCCCTGGGTTTGGGGAGAGACCATTAGTAATTTCTGAGTCACATGGAAGTTGGGAATATTTAAGGAGCTGGTGTTTTCAACCCTAATGAATGGCCATTGTAAATGTTGACACTGTCTCTACCAGTGTCTCAGAGCTTAGAAGTAGCCAGGACCCCGAGGAATTAACTGAGTCCTAAGCAGTCAAATATAGAATCTGAAGACAACCCAGTGCATTGTATCATTGAGTATACAAACCTGGGAGGCAAATTGCCTTGGTTCAAATCCTGAGATTATTTTATATGCTTGGTAAGGTAGTGTCTCTGTGCCTTGGTTTCCTCATCTGGAAAATAGGCATAATAGTACCGCCTTCCTGGGGACTGGAGGATTAAATGAGAATTCATGAAGTGGGGGAAGCACTGAATAGTTATTTTATGTATGCAACTGTACTCACCATTCCCTAATTGTTACAGAGGTGTGTGTCATAGGGGCGCCTTGGTGGCTGAATCTGTTAAGCGTCAGACTCTTGGTTTCCACTCAGGTAGGTAATAATCTCGCCCGGTTCATGAGTTCAGGCTCCAGATCCTGCTCAGGGCTGACTGCACATGGCCCGCTTTTGAGTCTCTCTCCCTTCTTTGTTCTCTGCCCCTCATCCACTCATTCATTCTCTCTCTCTCTCCGTCTCCCTCTTCCTCTCTCTCTCTCACACACACACAATAAGTAAACTTAAAAAACGTATGCATCACATAATTCTTTCATCCTTTCACTTATCTCCCCCCAAAGGCCACATTTTTTAAAAAGATGCTATAATCTATAAGATCCTACATAATTTAAGCCAAAAAATAGCAGAAAATGTGGCGCCACCATATATAATTAATAAAATATATTTCACTTAAAAATTTTTCAAAAGTTATATAGACTAACCTCAAGGAAGTTACAAAATGAAAGGGAGAGCTCATGATTTTCTGATACAGGTGTTACCTCACCAAGCTACAAGTCTCTCTGCAGATTTATTTCTCCCTTTACTCACCCATTGGCATCAGTTGCACTGAAGGAGGCAGAATGATTCGTCCTGATGCTAGAAGCACAGTGCAGACTCTGCATATTCTTTCTACCTTGGGGCGTAAGGTTGGGTTGTTTTTATGATTCTCTAAAATCAGCTGCTCCAAAATCGTTTTATCATGACAGCCTAGGCTTAGAGCTGCGTTTTTGCTGGCTGCACAAAGGAAAACAACATCTTGCCTTGCAAATGTTCTGACTTGCTTATTATGTGAACTGGTATATTAAATGAGATTGTTTTGGCCAGATTTTCAAAGAACTTCGGAATAAGTACTCAGGAAAACCTGTATTTCAGAAATGCACGTTTGTTGACCTACATCTCTAACTTCCATGTGTTGTTAGAACTGAATGGTCTTCCCAGGTTTAAGTTTGGTGTTTTACTTACTCTCATGACATCCCCAAATAGAAACATACCTTCCATTCTCAACTTAGTGTGGAGAGTCTGGAATATAGCCCCCATAGTTTTCATTGTACCGTTAGATAAAGCCTAGTCAGTTGGCTTATAAGAGGTTTGTCTTTTGTGACACAGGACATTGCATGTTACTTGACACTTTTCAGGCTGGGAAAAATACTGCTCTTGAGAGCCAGAAGGCAAGGAGGACTCCTTACCCTACCATAGAGAACAATTTGAACAATAGAATTCGGTGATGATAGTAATTACTATTAACCTAAGGCAGGCTTTCTCTCTGTGTTTTAAAATTTCTCCAATACCCAAGGCTACTGTTAGCTACTGTGTTATTCATCAGGGAGTGGTAAAATACTTCTTCCAGTTCTTGTCTGTGATTATTGTCAGTGGGATGATGACATAGGCCTAAAAATCTTTATGAGGCTTTTTTATTCTTTTTTAATAGCAAGAAGAAAATAGTCTCCCTTTCTCTCTTTCTCCATATAAACACACACACACACACACACACACACACACACAGGTTTAAGCCACAATTTAAAATTTCATTTCACTGGATTTATTTTTGAAATTTTTGGCGATAGCATTATCTTAAAAATCTTAACAGTAATTTCAGGATGACCTAAATTCCATTCCATTGACTTTTGTGTGTTAACATAATTTTTTATATCATGTAGAAACAGCTAGTATCTATAGATTTTTTTAACAATGAAAAATATAAATGCACATTCTTAAAACCAGGATTAAAATCCATTTGGGTGAGGTATAGTGTAAAATCCACACAATTAAGTTGATTTATAATGTCCATTAGGGCAGGTTAAACAAAATTTAATAAAAATTTATAACACTAACAAAAAGTCTACTAAATTCTCTTAAGTAGCTTTCAATATTTCTTCTGACATTTGTATATAAGTTGAAAATCTTCAAAAACTCTCCTCTGCCATGAATTCGATTCTCATAGATTTATCCATGGTAAAGAAGATGTGTTTTAGTGTTCTATCATCTTATAAATTTCCCTTTGAGTAACTGACAAACTATTTCTATTTTCTCTATTATCAAAAGATCACATATGGAACTCTATAATGTGTAATTTATGGACTTTAAAAAAATGTTTAATGTTTATTTATTTTGAGAGAGAGACAAGGTGTGTGCAGGGGAGGAACAGAGAGAGGAGACAAGAATCTGAAGCAGGTTCCCGGCTCAGAACTCTTAGCACAGAGCCCAATGTGGGGCTCAAACTCACAAACCGCGAGATCATGACCTGAAGTTGAAGTCTTATACTCAACTGACTGAACCACCCAGGCACCCCGTAATTGACTTTTTAATCAAAGTGTGACCTTTGTGGAAGAACTGTTTAACATTCTTTAGCTACATTAAGCAAGTATTGATTTTCTTTTTTTTTTTTGTTAAATTTTTAATGTTTTTTTTATTTATTTCTAGGAGAGAGAGAGAGAGAGACAGCGTGAGCAGGGGAGGGTCAGAGACAGAGGAGTCACAAACTCTGAAACAGCCTCCAGGCTCTGAGCTGGCAGTCAGCACAGAGCCCAACGCGGGGCTCGAACCCATGAACCGTGAGATCATGGCCTAAGCGAAAGTCGGATGCTTAACTGACTAAGCCACCCAGGCGCCCCTACAAGTACTGATTTTCTTTCCTTTTTTTAAAGTTTATTTATTTTGAGAAAGAGAGAGCGAGTTGGGGAGGAGCACAGAGAAAGAAGGAAAGAGAGAAGCCTAGGCAGGCTCCACATTCAGTGCAGAGCCTGATATGATATGGGGCTCAAACCCACAAATCATGAGATAATGACCAGAGCCGAAGTTGGATACTTAACCAAATAAGCCACCCAGGCACCCCAAACATTTTATTTTCAACTTCAAGACGAAAGAGCCATTGACTTAGTTAGCTATTAGGCATGCCTGAGAGGTTGCCTTACT